AGAGCCAGTCTGTGTGCTCTGTATCGGCGTCCTGTAGCCCTCTAGATGTTGTTTCTGACAGGATCCAGAGCCTGGACAGCAACACGCCGCCATCCTTCACTGGCTACGCCGCTCGCCACCGTATGCGCATGTCATCATGTGAAATAGAGACGAGCCTAAGTGTCTTCACGCTGCTGAGTGACAGAAACCCCCTGTCACATGAATTAACTCCTGTGTGTATGATGGAGCACTGGCCTTTGCTAAGGGCACTTTACAAAGCAACCCCCCCACCCACCCCCCCCACCGCCTTACTATTCTCCTCCTTCAGGCTTATTGCATGAAGCCCATTCATCTGTTCAGCGTTGAAACGTGGCAGGAAGCGCTGATATCTGATGGCACCTCCATCCTCCAAGCACACACCAAGTACACAGGGACTCGCCTCAGCAAAAACAGAGAGGATGGTGGGCTGAGTGGTGATGGTGATGGTGACGGCGACAGCGACGGCGGGTGGGGGATGAGGATGGGCAGCAGCCCGGCTGATGCTGTAAAATGAAAAGTGTAGTGCGGTTCTCTGTAGAGGTGATTGTGTTTTATGACTCCTAACACTGGCCTAGGTAATAATTTAATGTGGAAACACACCAATCTTATCAGCCTGTATCACAACGTGGTGGCTGCCACGGAGAAACGGCAAGTCACTAATACATTCATGGAGATGCGGATTTGTCCTTTCAGTCTGGCAAGAGTTAGTTAGTATGGTTAAAAAAGGGTTAAATCTCAACGATCAATGGATTTCAGCTGATTTCAACATTAGATTTTGCTATTTCCTGCATAGAAATGGAAAATTTGACTTATTCGTGGTGCCAGAGAGAAAGTCGGGGACTCACCAACAATGTAAGTCTTCTTCATGAATATCTACTCAGTCGGCAGTTCTCCGGATGTCTTGTCGCAGGTTAAACTGTTGGTCAAGTGGAAATATCACGTGACAAAGATGCCAATGGATTACAAAAAAAAAAAAGAAGTAAAATCCATTCTCTAGACACCATGAAGACAGTTTGAAGAAGTCGACAGCAGAGTTTGAGGGTACTGAGCTTTTTTTTTTTATAACTTGACATGCAGAAGGTCAAGAACAAGGCTGGATTATAACGCTGGAGAAACAGACCTGAGTGTGTCACTTGATTCATGGTAATTTGATCCGTTGATTTGTTGTAGAATATCCACTTCGATAAGGACCTATTAAAGGAACAGTTCGGCATGTTGGGAAATACACATCTTTTGCTTCCTGACAGTTAGATGAGAAGATTAGTAACTTCCTGGAGTCTCGGCTGGTTGCCTGGAAACTACTCAGAGCCAAGAAATAATCTTGTCATTTATACACTTAGGTTTTTTTGTGAGGATTAAACGAGATACATGTTAATTACTGAGCTTTAGAGGCACTCGCAGACCTCTGGGGTTCTCTTAAATTTAAGAGCGTTTTTAAGTCAAAATAAGTTTAATGAATAGTTTTTATTCTTAAACTTGTGAGTGGGAGGAAAAGTGAAGGATTTTTACTTTTATCTTTTGCATAAGTTCAAAATTTTACCTTTAGCAGTTTGAGAAACTCAAGCCCAGGGGTGGTTTTAAAACTTCTACCTCAGCTTTTATTTTGTGCTTAATTGGTGCATATTCTTAAATAATTTTGTGTTTGATAAAATTACCATAAACTAATTGATATGCAGTAAATATTGGCATCACTCAAAGTTTATGTTACATTCTCTAGAGTCAGAAAAATGAGGGATCATTGGGACCTAAATAACATTTTTACCGCATGGCGTCTGTGCAGGTGTTGGCCAGGAGACACTGTGACTGTGTGATGTTGCTAGAATAAAGGTTACGGGGTCGCCATGGTCAGTGGAAATCACCCTCCGCAATATTTCCAACGTGTCTGGCTCTGAAACTTAGTAGAGTCTGAAACTCGAAGGTCTAAACACCTGCCGAGGTAATTTTATGAGTCATTTGTGTTGATCAACAGTCCTTTCAACCTTTGCCATTATTACAGTCATTTCATGCTATAGAGCAGTTAGCGTCTCCCTTAATGAACCTTTGAGGGTGTTGGGAGGCGACTACAGGCAGCAGTATAAAGGAGTGATAGTTGGTGAATGCCAGGTATTGACCTTAAAGGAACTGCAGCACAGACTCCTCTCCTAATCTACCTTCGCTGAGCTGATTTTATTTCAGTGTCAGCCTGAATGGCTTTCACTGGCAGCTTTCCATTCAATAAAGAAAAGAAGGAAGAAGCCATGTTACTTTTTTTTCCAGATCATTACAAAGGTGAAGGAAGTTTCTCCAACTTTCTCTGAGCTTTACCGTTCAACTTAAAGCAGATCCGTTGATATTCTGTGAATTTTAAATGCATTACACTTAATTGGAAATGCAGCACAGGCTGAATCAGATTTGATGTATTCACACATATTAATATTGTTCAGCTGGTTATTGATTAGTTTGCTCATTTTAGGCTGCAGCAAAACTCCCTTTGATTTTAAACGACAAGCGTGTCATCTGCATATATAGAAACATTTGTTTTTTCCAAATGTGCTTTTGAACGTAGTGGAGGCGCCCTCAAGCAATTTACTGTGATTAAAGCTTGTTTATCTATAAAACACAAGACTATTAACAGTTAATAACTCCCTCAAACACGCCAGAAAGGCCCAATTAAAAGACAATTAAATGTTCCCTCGGGTTTCCAAATAATTTCCCCAAACAAAACTGCTACCTCGACATGAAGTGAACTTGTCGGCTACAAAGGGCCAAGCTGAGGGTTCATTTACTAAATCACTACAGCTCTTCTTTTGTTTCGCAGTGATTGTTGGAAACTGTGTGACTCATCAGAAACCATCACCAGAGCCATGCAGGAGCTGTAGCTGCAAGTCTGAGCACAAAGCTCATCTCCTCACCTTGACACGGGAGTATGTTTAAAGGTTTTTGAAAGGCTGAGCAGCTCTCACTGCTGGGAATTCAACTCCTGCTGCAACAGAATCTCGAAAACTCAAATGAAAGTTTTTTTTCAAATGAACACGATTCAAATTAGAATCATTTCATCATGCAATTTGGCAAGTAAAAAAGTTAAGTGAAAAGTTTGGAAAAAAGTCCCTTGACATGAAAAAGTCAGAATGATGAAGAACATTTACTCTTAGATGTTTTTATTTTTATTTTTTTTGTTTAACTCTTTGTTGCCTCCCAAGTCATCCATTAGCTGCTGAATCACCCGTGTGTTGTAGATTTCTCCACTTTCTATAATTAATTTAGAGATCACATCCTGACAAACTTTAAACTCAAACACCTTCTCAACCACAGGTTCCTGGCCAGGGAGTTATCCATCAATTTGTAATGCCTGGAGAACTCTGAAGTAATTCTCTGTGCATTGATAGAACACACACACACACACACACACACACACACACACACACACATACTGCGGAGATTTTGGAGCAAGCTAATCATCACTTGAAGACATTCTGTCCATTTGCCGTCTCAGTAGAGCTTCACTTGGCTTGAAAATTACTCTTTTGTGGGAACATGGTGCCCGGCAGCCACTGCCATGTCAACCAAGTCACACATTATTTCAGCCAGTAGTTGCATTAATAATTCATTAGTGAAATAAAAAAAAAAAATCCAAAATCTGAACTTTCAATATTTAAGAATGTAATTTAGTTGCCGCTGGGGGAAAAAAAGAAAAAAAAATGAGATTTTGAACATTGGACGTACTGTTCTCTAACACTATGTCAGGGTGTTAATTAAAAAGATGTAAGACCAGCTATGGCTTTGATTTCCCAAAATTCTCCTCCAATTAACCTGTGACAAAAAAATCTGATAAACATCAATCGAATATAATGAATATGAAATTATTACATAGAAATATAATAAAAATTTTCTTCCTCTCTACATCACCAGACCACTCTCACACTGACATGCTGATGCAACATGTTTACCATGTTAGCGTAGCATGTTAGCGTAGCATTACCACTAAACTTGAATGTCATTAGTTTTGCAGGTATTTAGTCATAAAACAAAAATACCAAATGTCACGACTCATGACAATCCTTTCCTTACTTACCAACAGTTTCTTTCCCTCGACCATCAGAACTCTAAATCCCATAAATGTACACACATGATACGAGGTTTACCTTCATCTGCTGACCTCTTTTAACTATCACTATTTTATTATTTTTTAATGAATAACAGCTTACTCAGCAAAGCACGTTTCTACTTCTTTTAAAATATTTATTACAGGTTTGGTTAGATCTAGGCACACGTGGTCACGGTGATGTAACGATGGTGGTCATGGTTAAAAAGATCCGACACTGACTGTCAGCAGAAACCAACTGTGTTCTTCCTCACGTTTTGTTTCCCTCACCCTCCACCACGACCTCTCACCTGTGCTATAACAATGTCAGCCGACTTCTGACGAAGCCTTGTGACCCTTTTCAGGTGCTTTGCTTTTAGTCATTTGAGCAAACGACCAATGCTGTTGTTTTCATAATGTTATGGGCTGATTACCATGAAATTTGCTGAATGTATTCATGTTCACAGTCAGAGAAACCGCTTTGATTTTATCCCTAAAGCTCTAAGAAAAGTAAAGCAGGCAGTAATGCTGTTCCTTTCCTTCCAGCACTTTCATATCTTGGAGCTTGGAAATTGTGGGCTTGTTAACTTGCAGTTATGATTAACCAAACAGAAAATGTCCATTTAACAGATTCTTGGAGGAAACTTTTGTTTTCCACATGATCACTTAAAAGGCGCTTTTATCACAGGAGCAACCAGCCATACTGTATTAAATCTGGAGAAGCTCTCCAGCCTGCTGCTTTTAAAACATCGGAATCAGTTTCTCATTTTTCTGTTTCAGACTTTTAAATGAGAGTAATCATCTGCTCTGCGTCCAGGCTGCCGGTTGTTTGTACCTTCAAACACCAGTTGCTCCTCTGTAATACGTTCATTACAGTCTCATTATGCTAATGTGATGTACTTTGTTCTACTGTGTTTGGCAGGCCAGTTGGCGGTGGGGACGTGCGAGATAGTGATGCTCAACAGAGACAGCAGCGTTCCCAGGCGGACCATCGCCAGGCAGACGGCCCGCTGCGCCTGCCGGAGAGGCCAGATCGCCGGGACCACGAGGGCGAGGCCGGCCTGCGTAGACGGTGAGTTCAATGACCTCTCTAGCCTAGTGGAGGGCAGATTTTACAGATTTTTATGTTGGAATGAGTCAATTTATTCCTGGTAACAACAGAAAGACATTAGGTTTCCCACAGCTAGCTTTGTGAAAGTAACAGAAAGTAATTAAGCTAACTGCTGGTTAGCAAGCGCCACTGCAGAGATTCCTTATAGAGCTACGTGAGGCATGAAAACAACCAAGCTAGCAGAGTTGCTAATGTGGCGTGCGTAACAAATTACTCACAGCCGACATTGTTGCGGGGATAATTAAAATACCGTTTTTGAAATAAACATTAGAGAACGACCTACCACAGGGACAGCAGGACACAGCAGGTGAATTTGCGGACGCGCCTGTCGTGTGTCTGCAGGGACGGACGTGTAAATGTAAATGTATTTAAATATTGAACCTAAGGTTTCAAGGCCCCACAGAGGGCAGCCACACAACAGGCCAGTCCCAAGATGAAACCAATATAATACATTATGAACAAGATTAAATAAAATAGATTATGATCAGTAGAATACAGCAGTGACCAAAAATACATGAAGTAAACAGTGATAATGACGTGTGAAATCATTAACTCTGCTCCAACAGAACCCACACACCTTTTGGCAGACATTTCGACATAACGGGAACATCATGAAAAATCATAACGGGAAAGAAAACAATAAAAAAAAAAAAAAAAGCACAGGTGTAACTATTAACATTAACAATGTCTCTGTTCCATTGTGTGTCCCAGCCAGCTCGCACAACACCGGGAACTCTGCAGCTGGCACACCTGAGCGGGGATGTGTGGTCGTTATTAACGTTATGAATTATACCCGGGCTTCTCCCGGCGTCACGTGTCACAGTATCCTGAAAAAAAAAAAAAAAAGGTCTATTTGAACAGCGCCCCTCTGGTTATTTACCACATTAATGATGTTGTGACAAATTGACACATTTACATCGTGACAATTCAGCTCAGTGGCACCAAATAACAAACAAAATTGCTGCTGGCTGCACTGTGGAGGAATTAGTCCCAGAGATGAGTACATTATTGGCAGCGCGGAGGCGGTTTGATTATAAAAGATTAGATCTACAACAAACTAATATAATATGTACAACGAGATGACGGCAACAGAAAAAGTGATCAGAAAACTGTCTCAGACAAAAATGTAAATATGAAACAACAGCAACAGAACAAAAACCGTATTCGCTTCTTCCTCACTCCATTAAAAGCAACTGCCACTGTCATTTGTTTGTCAAGACTGTTTAACTCCTGACTAGTGACTGATGTGTGTCTGCATTTTACGACAGAGTAATGGGGCCGCAATGAGGGAAAAAAAAAGATATTTGAAATGTCGGGGAATAAAGTCAGAATATTACGAGAATAAAGTCGTAATATTACGAGAATTAAAAATGTAAAATTTCGACAGAAGAAAAAAAATATTACAAGAAAGCAATAAAACCTGATAAAAGAAAGTCAGTGGCAGCTGCTGTTCGTCTGTCTAACAATTGAATAGACTCACAATCTTTTCAATGTCCTGGTGATGATGATGATGATGATGATGATGATGATGAGCCAAAAGATGAAGTATCTCCTTATTTGTGAAACCTCTGCTAAAGTAGAACTTCACATTCCTCATTTTAAAGCTTCTGATATTTCACCTCTAAAAACAACACGGAGCCTAAAATTACAATCTTGTAAAATTAGGATTTTATTCTCAAAATTACGACTTTATTCTTGTAATGTTATGACTTTATTCTTGAAATTTCATGTTTTTTTTTTCCTCAATGTGGCCCCAGTGCTCCTCCTCCTCCTCCTCTACAGGCAGCCACCGTGACATCATCACTTCGCTTTGTGCCTCTCGCAGTGTGTTATCCTGTTTAATTTTCCTCCTCTCTGGTGTTTCTGAATGCACTCCAGCCGACTTAAGATCACTTGTAATGGAGAATGTGCAGTGTTCATCCACTTTGTAGATAAGATTTTATACTTTAGAGCTCTCTCTCTCTCTCTCTGTCTCTCTTTCTCTCTCTCTCTGTTATATTGGACAGTATCTAGAGGAGGGAGGGTGATAAGATGGATGAGAGGAATGGGGAGGTGGACACACTCAATCTGTGGTGCTGATTGGATCTCACAATATCACAATCACATGCATCAGACGTACCATTAGTTCCATCATGCAATGGCTCATGTTGGTCTTAATCTAATAGCCCCGACATAAGACCCACAGTCCCACAGCCCACAGAGTCACGCTTCCCACACACACACTTCTAACCAACCTCTCCTTCTCTGCGGACGCCTCTCTCCGAGACACTCAACAGATGCTAATTAACTTACAGAGAACTATGATTACAGCAGCAGGAAATTGATTATTACTGGCTTCCCGCCGCACCACACCCTACACTCCATTAATACCCAGTGCATTAAAGATGGAACCTGTTGCTTGCAGGCTCGTTTAAAAGGCTCTCTGCAGACAGCCGAGGCAGCATCCATCATCTCGTGGCTTTTAAGTGGAATTTCTGCATATTGCATGGGAATGCAATGGGTCTAATGCCGCCGCTGCTCAGATATCCTCTCTGACCTTTGCCTTTGATGTGAATTCCCATAAACGCCCCTTTGCCCTTCTAAGAATGTAAACCAATTTACTGACTTATAAAACATGTTTATTCATTTGTATCCGTCACTGAGGCTTTGCAGTGGTCCAGTTTTTTAATTTATTTCTTTCTTTCAGTGGATTGTTATTAACGCAGCAAGGACTCGCTGTCCTCTGGGTCAGTTTAATATAACTCTTTCACAGCAGCAGCGGCAGAGGATCACTGCCTTGTTCAGATGTGTGTTGATAGAATAGTGACCTTTAATGAAAGTGGAACCGGCGCTGAGTGAGTAAGCAAAGGCCAAGAGCTCTGTCCCGATACTGTGTGTTCAGAACTGTAATCTGATTATTCCTCACCTTCAGCCACATCAGGCTTTAGAAACATACGTGTAGATGGAAAAACTTGGCTTTTCTTTTGGGGATCCGAGAGTAACTCAGTCAGATGCACAGTCACTAAATCATACTATCACTTTATTCTGGTCCAGGTCTGCGGTGTTATCTTTTCCTTTGTCCAGAAAAAAAAAAATCCAGTCCTTCCGTCTGTTCTGTTGTTGATGTTGCTCTGTGCACCGCACTCCGAAAGTACAAAGCAATGTACGTTCACTCAGATGTAAGAAATGCCCTCCTATCAAGATACATAAAAACACAAATCAACTCTCCGTGGTGTCCGACTGCCAGACATGCTGGAAATCTTGATATTATAGATATTACACACATTCCTGTTATTCAGAATTCATAGGATTGTAGTTACATATATAACTCTTGTTTGCATTAATTTGACAGGAGACTTTTGTTTACCATATAACTGCAATGTCCCTGGTTCACTTCCAGCAGGGGTTCTTATTTGCATGTCGTAGCCCACTCTCACTCCCCATGTTTCCTGGCTGTGCCTACTCTGTCACTGTCTAAAAATAAATAAATAAAAAGAAGGATAAGACAGAGACTCACTGGAGCAAGGATCTGTCAGAGCTGTGAGGCCGGTGGGAGTGGCCCAGAGACAGTAAACTAATCTTGGATAAGTAATGCTGTTGGAGGAACACTTTCTGCCTTTCTGGTAATAATTTAATAATTTTAATAACTTTTAACTAACGGTGTGAATCACAGGTGAAACAACGCCAGACACAATATAAACTTCACAGTCTGTTCTGCACAGCCTGTCTTTGTTTGCAGTCGAGCAGTAAAGGCTGGTACTGATGCTAAATGCAAAATAGGACCCAGGTGTGCAGAGACCACGCCACACATGACTACAAAACTTAATAAAAAAAACTTTTTGCAGAATCAAATAGACAAAAGGCTTTTGCCAGAGTGAGGCAGAGATAACTGGTGCAGACATCAGGCAACTAAACTCACAATAACTAAATCACTCTGCACAGCTGACTAGAACAAAGGCCACCTGATGAGCTGTCTCCAAGACTGAGGGAGCCAAGATCCGGGAACAACACTAGCTTCAGAGGTGAGGTGAAGGGTGAGGCTGAGGTAATGTATTTGCCCTTAGTCCCGGTCAGCAGGAGTAACCGTCCACCAAATGAACGACAAACACCCGGCTCCAGAATCAGCACCATGGACAGCGGTCAAGACAGACTTACTGAGTGAATTAATTTTTCTTGGAAAGACTTTAGATGTGTCCCAGTTTCATACTTTAAACTCCTACATAATTCCAACTGGATTTAAGTTTGTAGTGTGTTCACACTGGAAAAGTGACAAAATTAAGAATTCCCAAAAACGCCTCTATGCATACTAAAGTCGTTCGATTTATTTTTTGATGGTAGAATGGACGGACGCTCTTGTCCCACAATGTCTGTACAAAGGAAAAAAAAATTAAAACAAATTGTGGATGGTGTCTGAACAGCCCAAGGGACATTTCCACATTTTTTGATTGGCAGTAACGTTCAAAAGTTTGATTGATGTCTTTTGACGCACGTCTTTCTAATCATTTCCTGTCAGTACAAAAAGTACATTCCTTTTTCCTGCTGCCTTTCCCCACCAACTAATGTCAATTTTAATGAGAGTGAATCCCGTCCTTCTAACAATTACCATCTTTCTATTAATCATGATTTTGTAGCTACTTCAAAACATGCCTCTCAGTTTACTCTTGATCCTCTGAGTCTCTCTCTGAGTAGTTATCAAGCCTCTTCAAGCCATTCATCATGAGAAATCTACCGGTGACGACAATTTGGATAATTGTTCTTTTCTTCGTCTCTTTGCTCTGAGCAAATAACTCTCAATTTTAAACTTTCTATTTTTCCCCCTTATTGCATCAGAGTGGAGAAAAATGAGTGACTCAAATAACTATAGACCAATATCTAAATTGTCCTGTTTAGCTAAAGTCCTAGAGTCGCTTGTAAATTGTCAACTCAAGGAATTTCTCTCTGTCCTGAGGCCATATCAATCCGGGTCCAGGCCTTTGCACGGC